ATCCAACTTTATATTTCAGCCAGCGTTAAAAAACATGTTTTCTAATCCGCGAATATCAAGACTCAAAATGACGTGTCGGAGCAGTCGGAGGCTGTCGGAGAAACCAAGACGCCGCTGAACCAAAAGAAAAATTGACGATGGGAAAATCAAAACGCCTATTATATATTCTTACTCGTGTCTCTAAGTTTGGTTGTATTCAATACCAAAATGAGATAATATAATTTTGAGTATTAATGACGTTTTTAACATCTAATTCGTCGGGATGCTGAAATAGAAATATTCACTAAATATAGTTTATTATATAGTTTTTTAAGTATAGACTGGTAATCATCTATGGTTATCATGATTTTGTGATGCCTTTGAGGATACGGTTTTTAACCCATCCTTATAAATCTCGGTATATAACTATAGCATAATTTCACTTCCTAGTATATTTGTAACCCTTGAATATTTCAAATTCGATCCAGATATAGAAATACATCCCGATTAATTACTTTAAATTCAATATAAATGTGTCGATCAATGTTTTTTCATGACTTGTTTGGGCGTGAGTGAATTCGGTTTCTCAAAATTAGCCCAGATTCTGGGGTAAATCACAAATTTCGTCAAAAGCGATATATCTATAATTGATATTTCGACACCACCCAAAAAGCAAAGATTCAAATTTGACATTGTCGAAATGTATACCACATTCTCTTACAACCATAAGGACTTGATTTGTTCAGAACTTAAATGTAAGGTCGGTCCTCATTCCAACGATATACATGTATAACATATGCATATCATATTCTTTTAAAATATCGAAATATTTATGGCTCCAATTCTAACTTCTTATGTATTTATTATGTATATCCGACATCGATGTTGTTTTCATAATTGGAATGTACTCTTTATCCTCTTTTTAATAATACATGACATTAATACACAAAAACTTTACTGTTATTACTTAATAACCTTCTATATGATGACAATAGTCTTGCAATAGATATTCATGGCTAACTAAAAGGCTAAAATTTAGCTTAACTTATTCAGGCTTTCCCGTTTCTGAGACCAAGGTACGATTGACATCCGATTATGGTGGACCATAGTCTATTTCTATAGGTTCATTCATTCGCCAGCCCTATCCGAGATTCCACATTGCTAGTATATTGTTAACCTGTTTTACCCGTATATATAAGCCTAGCTCGATATAACCCCGACCGAACTAACCACTCAACAATTTTTTTCTGTGAAAGTTGTTTGAAAAGGCTTCTAGTGTGAAACTCTGTGCTCACAGAAACTACAGTCTTTATTCCAGTGATTTGACAAACATATTGTCCAACCACGGTAATATATGAATCTTAACTGTGAAAGAAACTAACGACTTATTTTGTTTCAGTTCCGTTCTACAACCGGTTTTTATTTCGGATACCGATTAAAATATATACTTCTAAAAGTCAAACCAAATTAATGGAGTACAGATTTTTAATTCAACAGAGTTTACGGTGATAGTAGACTAAGGAAATGGAAAAGTATCTTACTGAGCTGAGCATAGTTCATGTTAAGGAGAGATTGTGAAACAATCCTTTTCAAACATTCCAGTGTCGATCCATATTAATCCACAATTGTAATGACACGAGATCCACCCGAAACGGTGTACACCTAGACATACACGAATTGGATGACTTGTACCATGTTCTTTTGAGTCGCGCAAATGTATTTTTGCCAAGTCAGTTACTGTTAAAACATAGACAGAACCTGTGATTGAATAACCCTGCTAGTACATGTGAACAATCTAAAAAAGAACAAAATGGATATCAGCGTTTATTCCAATCAAGTACAAACTCTTCATACTTCGATTTTATCTTTTGCTTCCTCGCGTGTGCCCGCGCTACCTAGATTATCGCGTTGCCGACAGGATTTATAATATCAAACAAGTTTGATACTTGCCGCCGATAATTTTATCGTCTGCAAGACATAGCGTCATCATCCAATCAGATTAGTTTTCCTTTCAATGGTATGATCCGCACGTGAACATTGACATAGTGGAAAACGAGAAACTAGTGATTTTTGTCTCCTTAATTCATTGCAGGTCAGTGAAACTCTTAACAAGACTTAGATAGAAACAAAAATCGCCGAGCATGACCGTTCGTGTGCTTGCACCTAATAAAAATGTTACCATTTGGAAATGTGATTTTACAGAGCGAAATTTCAGATCGAAATGTGGGTCATTTTTACTTGCATTATGTCTTTACTTTAATCTATGTTTTTATCAGAAGAAAACGATAAGAAAGAATTAAAGATATACATATTTTAACCAACTTCTTGGAATCAAGGTGAAGGACACATATCATTATAAAGATTATGGGTTTCTGTAGCTGATCTTACTTTTTTGAACGTCGGCAAACGGACATCATGGAGAGTTTAGTAAAACTCTTTATGTTATGCATGCTTGTCACTACTGCAGCAACAGTTACTGGTGAGAAATATTAATTTCATTTTAAATTACAAGTTCGGTTTTAATCAATCGTGTATGGCATGGTTTGACATTTCTCAATTTAAAATACTTCACTTACGACAAATTTTAAGATTGTCTGACGATCGGATAAAAACAAATGATGCCTCTTTTGTATAAGGCTGTGTTCAGTTACCAATTGATACAACGAATTTTATTTCCAGTCGCTGGGGCTAGCACATGTCAAACTTACGTTAAAAGTTGTATTGGCGGATCCCATTCTTTGCAACATTATAGCAACATAACTTATTGTACCAGTGATGGTAAAAAGTACATTGGAATGTAAGTATTTGTATTATCAGTAGTCGGAACCAATTAAATTTTTATTATGTGAAATCTGTTGACGCCATTCGAAGGTAAAAGGAAAGAAAAGGAAGCAGGCTATGAGAATGCTTGATAAGAGAATTATATTAGATATTCTACAAGATGAACTATAGGACAAATTGTAAAAATTTCCGGAAGCCTAAGAATATTGCAGTTTTATATTTATATATAAGTATTATTGTTCATTTTTAAAAAAAGCTTTTCATAATTCTGTACAAATAAGGTATTAAGTAACTATTACAAAATAACAAAATTTATTTCTCTATAACACGCCCATTATACAATTATTTTGCAGATGTGGCTATTTGAATGCCAGTTGTTTAAATCCGAACTTAACGATAACAGCTAATGGTTACAATTGTGAACATAAAGTTTTTCACCGTGTGACAACCACACCAAAACCGCTGACCTACTTTGAGATCAATCTATTCCACGCCATTAGTAGAACCATTGACGATCGCCTTCAATTGTCAAGAGCAAGAGGAATTACTCCTGAGAAAGCCAAACCAATCTTCTCAAAACAAGATCATACTAACAAAGTTTACGTCAGAAATACGCATTGTTGGGCATATGGTTTAGATTTAACATCAATATCACCATGGAATAGCAATCACGGTACTAGAAAAGCCGGAACCTTGGTTACTAAAAGACATTTACTATGGGCAAGGCATTACAGTTTAAAAATTGGCGATACCGTTCGATTTATCATGGCAAACAATACTGTGGTTGACAGGAAAATTGCGGGTACTAAACTCGTCAATCATTCTTCGAAAGGTCATGAATCATTTTGGGGTCGAGATATTGTAGTTGGTATGTTAGATAAAGATGTTCCTGATGGCATCTCGTTTTCTAAAGTCATGCCGAGAGATTTGGACGAGTTCCGCCCTGTATACAACACGCGACTCCCAGTTATGAGTACTGATTTTGAAGAGCATGCAATTGTAACAGATTTCTCTTACTATCGAAATACTGGAATCGGTTTGAGAATTCCTGCAAAAGATTCCATTGAATATGAATATTATGAAAAAAAAATAGGAGGCGACAGCGGAAATCCTTCTTTTTTTATCATCAATGATGAATTAGTATTACTATTTGTATTTACTAGTGGCGGGGCAGGAGGTGGAACTTCTATTAATCATTATTATGATGAAATCAATCGATTAATGAAAGAGGAAGGTAGCCAATATCAACTTACTCCAGTAGATCTCCAATCATTTGAGGTCTCTGGCCACCACATTCCCCATCTTGTAGGTTAAATGTAATAAATATAAGCCTGACGATAAAGGGTTTCTTTTATTTATCTGTTCGTGATTATAGAAAATTGTTGACATTATAAATATTATGTTTAGATTACATTTTTCAATTATATTTCTTCATGCATGGAAAAGATTATCATTACTTGAATAGATATCATGCTGTGACAAAATGCTGCTTGTGATTGATCGATTTTATATGACATGCGACAATATCATTAAAGTTGTTGAAAATGATGACATGCACAGACTGGTTTAAATCAATATTTTATTTATTACATCTATTCCAATGCAGTGGATTGAGTTTTGTGATTATTCCTTGAATGGTATTTAGTAATTGGAGAATCATAACTGGATACATGTTTAACAATAACTTAATAAATGACTTGCATCTTTTTGACGATTATATTTCTATATTGCAAATTAGCAGAGCAAGGGGCTTGTCTAGAAAATGGCCGAAGAGGGAACGAAAAATAAGAGGATTCATTTTCTAATTAATTTTTTGAATAAGACCTTTCACAGGCCCGATACCCTCTGATCATAGCAATGAAGATATATAGAATAAAGTGAATGGATTTAAAGAAAGAAGGTTACTCATTGTTTCTGTCGAACAATATGGTTTGATTGATAACCGTATATTAATTGATAGCTATTAAATGGAAACTTTAGATGAAAGAAAGTATAGTAATTTGAGATGATATAAACAGCATTTTTAAAAGTATTTCTGTTTGAGCTCAACTATCATATAGGGACTGGTTGAAGCAAATACTAAATTTAAAAAACATGTATCAAAGTACACAATTATAAACAACACGCAATATATAAATGAGTGAAACTGCATATAATTTGGGTCAGACATACTATACTCTAAATTCATTGGAATTACACCATCCATTGTTGGTCTAAAAAAGAATTCTTTTTTGTTTTTCGTTACATCAATGTTAATTGTCTGATTTTGCACCAGTGATTTTATCGTGTTATTTTAATTGTTAAAGATTGATGAGAGAAATTCATAAATAACATATCGATCTATGATTGATTTGAAATTGTTTACTGCAGTATTGATGATTTATCTATTGGAATTAGGTCGTGGCGTTTGTGATACATTAGTGACTTTCAAGGAACAACAGAAAAACATCGATTTTGGTTAATGATTCCTGTGAACTATTTGTACTTTTGATAGTGTTGTGTTGAGGAGCACCGGGAGCAGGCAGTGCACTTTAAGTGGTAATGTCAGCGATACAATTATTTTACCCTCAACCGATCTTGATCAGCTTTTATAGCCGCTATCATTTTATGTTATAAAACAACGCTTTTGGTTTTATATGTATGTATATGATAGTTATGTCCCTTAGTTTAATATGGCTGTGCCCTAAATCAACGTGCATGTCGTCATATGTTATGAATATAGTTAAATTTAAATCACATATCTATGGTGTTATAACACAGACGTTCTTGTCTCCATAAGTGAAACTTGAATTATTGAAATATGGATGTATGTATATTTTTATCAATGCAATGTAATTCCTACAGCATCAGTAAACTTACATCATTGATTTTTCAGCTGTGAACCAATTAATAAGACAATTCCAAAAGCTTGTTACTTTGTTTTTACAAGACACTTTTTAATGAAAATGAAACTGGCTTCCTAATACTGAGCCAAACAACAAGAATCTGTTGATCACCATGTATAGTGTACGTCGTTCATGAGTAAAGCCATTTCTCTATTATAAAATGAATAAAAGTCATTGAGCAGATCTCTGGTTTCTGGTAACATATCACTCATACGTAGTTTTCTTCTGCCCTCGTTTTTGTTTTCAGATGATAGAATTTCTACTAGTTGTTTAGGTGACAATGGTGCTGGAACAGCAAAATATAAAAGTGTTTACCAAGGTGATCCTGTTTGTAAGAATCTGTCAATTCGCAACATCATGTTTTTAGTTTTGTAAAAATAATAAAATATAATGATAACAAGGAAAAAGTTTTTGCAATCCATCCACAGATAGCAGAGGTGATATCTCACAATTTTTTAACACCGAAGTATTGATAGAACATTAGACCTATACTTAATTGGGTATCTATATAATAAGTTTCTTTATTGAATATTTAGAAGCTGTAGAAAATGAATAAGATTAGGTGTCTTTCTTACCTACGCTAAGGAAATCAAAAACTTCAATAAGAACTGCTCCAGGATTTTCCGAAAGTTCCTCAAGTCTGATATCCAAAATTTGGTCTCTGTTAAAAACATTCAGCCATTCTTTCATAAAGACAGAATACAAACCAATATGAAGACGAACCTATAAAAAAATAACATTCTCGGCACTCGATGCCGATATGCAAAAGAATGCCTCGTACAGAATTATTCTCAAAAATGTGTTCATTTGCCAAAATATGCAAATTAAACAAAACTACACACTTACTGCATAATGGTAATGTTTAAAAGTCATTCCGCTATTTCGAAAAATAAAATCTTACTTTCATTTGATCTGTGATTGCACTGTTAAATATACAGTAACGATCTCCAAATTTCGCCATACATTTTTTGATTATTTTGATTGATTTATAACAATACTCATGAAATTCTTCAACTGTGGTGTTTTTCGTTCCATCAAAATACAGAAAGTCTGAATAAGCTCTGAAATAAAGGCCCCTTAAGTTAAACGTTTCTCAAATGCCCTTTATACGATTTAGGAAACAAGCAGTATTGTAAGTGATGAGATATATAAGATAAACTTGCTCCAAGCTAATTATATCATACCAAATCCGCTTTGATGTCCAATTTATATGCAGTTTTCCAATTGTCTTTTTATTTCTTAATTTTAAGATTTTTTAAATGTTATATTCCCATTGCATTTATCGAGTAATCAAACTGCTACTTTTCTTTCCAATATCTATATTAATAGTCCCAAACGATTGAAAAAAAGCCTGAAACAAACGTTTTATGAAGAAATCGGAAGCGTTACTTACCTATCAGTTGGGTTACGGAACATGACAATTATTTTGGAATCTGGATTAAGATGATGAACTAAATAAGGATTCGTTATTCTTGGTTCCGAGCAATTTTCATTACCAGAAATAAATGGCCAATTAGAGTAATCCCAAAAAGTGGAAACCGTTCCATCACCTATAGAATCAATCTCTAATGAATTTTTAATGGTAAGGTATGGGCGGTATGAAACAATTTAGTACACCACTGTTCACTGCGCTATAGCCACA